TCAGGGGTACCCTGTGTTTTGGGGACAGGTGGGGAGCTCTCTACTAGAAGGAGAAGAGGCACAGGGGACACCGAGTCCAGTAAGATCAACGGGCTGCTGGAGAGCAAAACATATGATACCTACGCCTCATCGTCTGGGTACTCTTCAGAAGATGACTATTCTGGTAGGGGTGCACCAGGGTCTCTGTGGTGGCAGGGATGCTGGTAAAGTTGTCCCCCAGGGGACAAGCCCCGGGCCTGGCTGTGCTCAGATGCTGTTCAGCCCCTGGGGCATGTCACCCTGTCTGCAAAGCCTTTGCCCTGGGTGACACGCAGGGATGCAGGCTTCATTTGTTGACTTACTGCCTCACTTCTTCCTTTCCAGGTCATTTTTACTCAGGCCAGAGTAGCTCTGGATCAGGGCTGAGGAATGCAGCCTCCCGGGTGGGCTCCTTCCTCTGGCAGGTGCTCACCTCCCCGGGTGAGTGAAGGGTTGCTGGGGGGCGTTTCTAGCAGCACCTTTATTCCTTACCAGCATCTCAGCTTTCCATATGCCATGTGTGCTGTTTCCTAATCGGGTGGAGGGGTTTTATCCCTCGGGAGTGGGAGAAGGTGTCTGTGCTGGGACGCTGCCTGAGGCTCACTTTCTCTCCCGGCAGTTCGATTCATGGGGTGGCTGTTTATGGGGCTGGCAGCTGCCTGGCATCGCCTCACTGGTGCGGCTCCGCATATGGGCCGTGTCCCCATTACCAGGTGAGTGTGGTGGCAGGACACTGGGATAGGGGCAGGCAAGGGGGAAACCTGCAGGACCCTGTAGAGGGGGTGCCCTGCAGAGCCTGGCACAAATGGGTTGGATGTCTTTGTGCCAAAGCCTGGCTGGGCTTTGCTTTCCCTCTGGCCCCCATCCAGAGGAGTGCTGCGATGGGGGATGGCGACTGCAGTCTTACAAGTGCCTCTTTCTTCTCCGTGCTCCAGGCGTTACCCGTGGCTGAAGAGGTCCCTGCTGTTGCTGCTGCTCCTTCTACTCCTTGCTGCTGCCGCTTACGGTGAGTCAGCCCAGCTTGATCTGTTGCCCTGAGATCTTGGGCAGGACAGAGCATCCCAGTGTCATTTCTAGGGAATGGGATGGCCCTGAGCTCAGTGCATGTGGCTCTTGGAACCCTGGTGCGTCTGCACCCCTGGACTGGGGCCTCCTGGCAACCCTGGGTGATGCTGATGGCTGAGCCTGTGTACATCCACCTTGTCCACCCACTGTGGCCCATTACCAGCCTGTCATTTTAACCATCTTGTCCCCTGGCATGCACAGGAGCTTGGTACTTCTACCCATATGGGCTGTCAACACTCAGCATTCC